ATTTGTATGTTTTTGAATACCCTAGATAGCATGCTTCATGTCTTGCATTACTGGTTTGGCCTCCACAAGCAGAACATCTGAACTTATTTAATAACGTTATATATTCGATTTACCTAAATTGTGACGCATTTTCTTTTTTTGGCAAGTAGTGTAACTTCATTAGGTGGGACAAATGAGATAAGATGCCACAGAACGAGACAGAAAAGTTAAATCCTCCTAACAACAGCCAGAGTAAAATAACCTCTACCCATCCTTGCCAAATTTAATTAAAGATTTACATTTCTTTGCAGCTCTTTCCATGGAAACCTTAGGAGGTAAATAACTTGACTATGTGTCACAGATCAAAGTCTCATCCAATGAAAAGCTTTAAAGTCTGGATGACTCAGTGACTCTTCTCTTTGTTCGACAGCCCCATTGATTATCAAAAACAGGTCGAACAAGTTTCAAAAGGACTTTATTAGAGATCAACTATCACCTTTGCTCTTGTCAAGTATAGTAGTTAATCTTTAAACTACTGTATTGTTATCAAGGGAAAACATGCGCCAATTACGTCAGCAATAATACAAACAACCTGGCATAAACAACCTGTTTATTGAACTAATCGGAGACAAGATCAGTAGAGAGGTATATAAATTGTGTAAGATGGCATTTTAAGCTTGAAGAACATATTCCCATGACATTAGGCCAACGCCACGCTGAGTTGCCTCACTCATTAGCTAGCCTCAGCTCACTGAGCTCACATCAGACAGAGGCTTTGTGCTGAATGCCTTTCCCATCACTCACACAAGCAGGAGGTTCAGTGCCGGACGCTGTTTTTTTTTTTTTTTAACGCTGAATGCATTCTTTGACCTATTCAAGACACACACACAGAAATGCACACTATTAGCGTTTTAACTGGAGTCAATGGGGGTTGAATAGAAGGGTAGCTGAATAGCAGGCACATTGTAATATATGTAACACATCTCTCGTTCAGTCACTGAATCTGGGTGCAGTGACCTGTAAGGTGTGGCCACCTTAGAAATAAATGAAACACTGACAAATGCCTCACCTTTCCTGGGACGAGCTAAATGGCCAATGAAATAAGCCTAACCACAAACCCACACGCTATCAAGACGCTTTCATTTCGACTGCAGATAATCTTTCATTTTTTCTCCCACTACTTGAACCTTTTAAAGCCACACGACTTTAAGATATGTCACAAGGAGGATGAATAAGCTGCACATTTTGCACATGATTTTATGACTCACAAAAACGTATGATCTCTCTATTTAACATTAAGTTTTAGGTTTTTATGAATGTCTATATCTTAGGTCATGTAACCACCAAGTTTTTCACTATTTTTAAACAAGTGTTTGCCTTACTTATTCATTTTAAATGGTCCTATGCTATTTTCTTTTAAATAGGTCAAATACTTTTTAAACAATAAAGTATTTAAGTATTTAAAAATGCAATTAATATAAGCCAAATAAGTCAAAAAGGCAATAATATATATTGCGTATGTATATGACTTATATTAATTGAGAGACTACAGAATATTTGCACTTTTAAAATCTTATAATAAATAATTTTTTAAAATCTACAAAAAAATATATTATATATTTTTAAATATTTTTTTAAAAAGTTGCAAGTATAACAATTATTAAAGAATGAGCAAAATGCTGTTTAAAATCATTTTTGATGTGTAACATCAAATTGCATGAAAGTCAACATCCCTGAAGCATTTCATGTCAAACAAATTTCCCTCAGCATGACAAATAATGTATTAGCAGCATCATCACATCTACTACTCATATCATCAACATATGATTTTAGCCTAAAATCACTGTGCAAAAAATGTATCTAATTTAATATAAAACAAAAACATAAAATATACACATTTTAAACGTTTATAAAAGCTCCATGCATACTAATTACAAACTAAAAAAAATAAAAAATTGAATGGAGAGTTCCCTGACACATTTCATGTCAACTACTCATCAACATAACAACATCCTTGCATAATAGCTGTAAAGCTTGAGAGCAGGATAAATGTGCTTCTCATCTTAGTATAAACACTTCTGGTCCTTGTTTATTGTGGGTAATCTAAAGCATAGACTAAGAAACAGATACGGTACGATTTCTAAAACACACACAGGCTCCCACACATTCACATCATTCTGATTACTCTGATAATGAGTGTTGCATTTAATTGCATCACGCAAACTTCTCTCTTCCTGTCTCCTCGTAAATGTGGATTCTATAAACATCTGACGGTGGAAAGTGGCTTTAAAAGGCTCCTAACGAGCAGCGGGATGTCGACTGCGCTCTGGAGTCTTTCTTGTGGATCCGGAGGTATGTAGCACATGTCCTGTTTGGATTTCAGAGCCGCTCAGAGAGATACCGTGCACACTTCCTGTCCATGCCCACACCCTGGAGAGCACACTCCGATAACATCGAAGGAGTGTGAGAGGGCAAAAAAAGTCAAGACAGGGGGGAGAAAGAGAAAGAAATCTGTGCACAAAGTGAAAAGAAACAACATGTATCTGTTTGTGATCCTAAGTTATCCCACGCACAAAAGGAAGAAAATGGAAAGACTTCAAGAGCAGGGACCCCTGCTTCGATTGTATGCAAAATGTTTGTGACTGTGGGTGGAAAGAAAGTATACAAAGATCTGATTCCTGTCACTGCCATCTGTGTTGACAGGAAGTTTACAGTGGGAGCCGTACGCCTCCGTCCACCCCCTCCCCATCCGCTCTCACTGGCCCAGGAATGTTTGAGTTATGCAGACTGGCAAGGATGAGCTATCTTCATCTAGTAACCAGCCAACCAGAGCAGACCCATAACTTAGCAAAGTTTACAGCGTCCATAAACAGTCATGTTGCAAACAATCTCTGCCCTGTCATTTCAATAAACAAACATGGGCTTCTAAGTAGAGTGAGTTTACCTGGGACTTACGGGACAGAGAGGTTGTTGAGGTAACAGTTACTGTAAGATTACTAGTTAATATGGCCAACATTCCCTTTGATGATTTCATTATCTAATTTACTAATTAAACTGCTTCTTTATATGAGTATATAATTACATAATACATGTATTTACACAAAATACACTTAAGTTCAATGCAAGAACCATCCTGTGTTTTTCAATACGCTGCTTAATGGAATGGTGTGATTTTAAGTTAAACATACACAGTGTGAGCCGAGCGTGGCTCTAGACTCTAGGGAAAGTTTTAAAGGTGAGTCTCGGCATT